ACTGAAGCTTCCCAGTGGTGGGTCTCGAGTGTTTGGGGTTGGCACAGAGGACCTGGTGCGAGGTGGTACTTTCCAAGGACAAAATTCATGTGCAGTGCCCCAGGGGAAGGTTGCAAGTGATGCTTAGCGGGTGAAGGCTCCTAAAGGACCACAACACAGCTGCTTTGTGTTGACCCACCTTGGTCTGAGCACCAGAACCACACGACAAGAGGTGAGGGCTTGTGTTATAACCACTGGAGACATCCAGAAGCCAGGCTGGCACAGGCATGCATGAAACTCATGTACTACATGCTGGGAAAGACAAATAATGAGCAGACTGCAGTGAATTTCTACACCTTTCATTTTCTCCCCTTCCTCAGAGTGGCAATGTCTGCTCAGCACATCTTGTGAGCAAAAAGCAGCTGAAGTAGAGCAAAAATAAACTGGAGAGCTGAAACAGGAGAAGAGAGCACAGCTACAGCACAGTTTTGTGTAAAACCTCATTCCTTACTGGTAGTAAATAAAAATAGTCTTTTTTTTTTTTTTCTCAGTGACTCACAACACAGGCATTGCATGGAAAGGGCACTAGGATCAACAGCCAGGGGAAAAAAAAATACAGAAATGGAAAAATGATCATCACAGTGCATTTTTCCCATTCCCCTTTCATCTCTTACACCTGTGTTTGACTTCAGCCAACCTTACATAAATCCTTTAAACATCTGTCTAAGTCACTTATGAAATAAGCTGAAATGGTCTCAGCCAGGCTAACAGTTCATTCTGCTGGATATCTGTATGTTTAAAGCCAAACAGGTTTGCGGAGTTTGCCAAGCCAGACGGGCAGCGGGCTTCCCATCAAACCCCGCTCATTCAAAATGTTAAAAACTGTTTGTGCCAGAACTTCTTCTGCAGGCGCCACCTTATGAAAGACCCTATTTATAGCTGTGAACTTAAGACAGAGGCAACGAAAGTTTGCTTGAGTGTAGTGGGACTCTTATAAAATCACACTCTGCAGAAGACCGTTTTGCAGTCTGAATGTACCTAGCAGGGGACGAGCGCCATGGGGTGGGAAAACAGGAGTTTGGGATAATCTTGGAAAGGTGCAATCCTGCCTGAGGGGTAGAGCATTAGTGTCGACAGTCACATCCTCCGAATGGCAGAGGGTGGGATGGATGTGGCCCTCACCTACGTGAGGTCAGGGCACGTGGTTGTGACCATGGTCATGACTTTGTGCTAATACAAGGCAGGGTTGTCCTGCTGCTTTTCCCCTTTTGCATTTCGTTGGTGATTATTTCAGGTCATTATATCTGAAAACCTCTTTGCAGCCACCAGCTCTGCTGCCTGGACAAGTTCATTACATCTGCAGAAATGATTACCTTCCATTCCACCTTCCCTGCACTCCACTGAGTGAGTCTCCACCGAGGAAGACAAGAAGTAACAGGGTGGTTTGCGTCTGGATTTTGTGTCTTGACTGATCTTTTGGGCTCCTTGAATTGAGAGAACTTCTGTTCTGGCATGGAGCTAGCTCTGCAACTGGTCTGGCCCTTGCCAGCTCCATGCCAGGGTCTGAGGTTGGGACAGTCTATTGTGGGACTTATTTCATATCAAAATACTTTGAAATCTGCTGCTGAGCAAGGTTAAGTTTGGCTTGTGGGTACTGGTGTTGCCCTGCTGGAGTCAGTGGGACCATAGGCAGCGATAGCTGTGGGATGCACGCAATGCCATGATGAGCACCCTGCACGGGGAGAGAGGCTCCTGGGCATGCCACCCACTTGGGGACCTCGGTAAGCAGCCTGCCTCCTCAAAGTACCCTTGCATTGTATGGCCCACGTTCGGCGCTGGTCCTGCTGCTTTGCGCAAGCACGGGCCCCCAAAAAGCTTAGACCTCCTTTCAGCTTAGCAAAGAGAATGAAGGCTAGCGGCCACAAAGCTGAGGTCTCTGGCTTTTCTTGATTTACTGGTGAGTTTAGAAGACAACTTAAGATTTTTCTTTTGGGGGCAAAATATATTTTTCCCTTGACACAAGTCAGAAATAGCAAAAGGGATTTGTTTAAACACATCTGATAAAAGTCTTCCTTGGGTTGTGATCAAGGCAGGTCAACTTCTGCATTGGGTTTATCTCGGCTCGTGAATTTAGGCTGTCTGCTTGCCTATGAATTGGTTTCTGTTTCTGCAAAAGTACCTGCTGTTCATCAACATTTATTGGATGTTTGTCATGTGAGTTTTGTTGACCTCTTTGCTTTATTGTGTGTATTCACAGTAACAATTCTTCAAAACCTGAGGATATTTCTCTTCCCCTGAGCCAAGATGCTTTCTTGACCCACAATCCTAACATGTGAGTACCTCACACATTAACTATCTCACAACAGCTCCGTAAAATTTTAGGAGTCTTATCAGAAATCAGAAATTAGGAAGAATTCAAACCACTTGCTTGATGTCATGGAGAAAAAGCTGTGAGACAGCCACTGAAGGCCAATGTATCGCTATATTCAAAAGACCTTCAGCAAAGGAGACTTGCAACAAGAGCCACTGGTGGAAGAAGATACTTTTCAGCACATGTTGAAGTGGTAAGCCCTAGCTCTTCCCACCATGACTGACTGGCAGATGCCCTGTTCTTCTGGACACTGCTGTGTGATATTGCCCCTCTGAGCAAACAGAATCAATAGCAATAGCTATTGTGTTTGAAATCCATGTCCCAGTGTTTCAGCCTACTTGATGTTTTATGAAGTATTTCATGAAGTTCAAACAAAAGGGATTTATCTTTTGTGGAATAAGAGGATGCTTCCTAGGGAACCTGCAGTGTAAGGCACATCTGTAAATAATACATATATCTCCATTTCTTTTGCAAGTGGAACATCTTCTCTCTTGGTTGATTTGAGTGCATAATAACCTTCGTTTTTATTGGGAGGCAATATACACACTCTTTTCAGGTTGGACTTCTGCAGTGTCATTCCTTCCACGTCCCCAGGTAGTCATACAGTATCTCCTCCTGTTTCAGGCTTCGCTAGCCTTTGGCACACTCTCCAGTGATATGGTATCACCTCCTGAAGGTTTGAGTATTCTTATGTGTCTTCTTCAGGATGGGGTTTTCCTAAGCTTTGCACGTGAAATACCACAGCAGAAGGTGAGGTGGAGATCAGAGTCCGCAGGCAGGGGGTTTGCTCATTGGTAAGGTCAACCTGAGCTCAGGCTTTGCTGATATACCTAATAAATCTGCAGGTACTCCCTTCTTAAGACAACAGCATCTGTTCTCTGTCTTCTTGTTCATCTTATAATGCTAAAGATGATTTAGCGTTACCTGTTTTCTCTTGAGAGTGAAGGCTCCACTCAGGTCTTCTGTGCTCCCAGACAAGTGGGAGGGCTGGGTTGCACCAACAATGGAGTCATCTGCCAGACTTTTACTGGCAGGATGTTTCACTTTGCAGAAGACTGGCGTGCAAAACATACCTTCCCTGGGTGGGCAGAGGTGTTAGGAATCTGACCATTATAAAAACACAGAAAGTCTCAGTGTCCTGATTCCTTGCACACAGTGAAAAACAAAAGCACTTTGGCCCAAATCTACCCAAAATCACTTAACTGAGGTGCCTAAATGAGTTGAATTAAACTCTGTCTCTGATGAAACGCAAGCAAGAGTGCTTTCTCCAGGGGCAGTTCAGATCTTCACTCCTGGCAGGTTCTAGCATGTCTGCTTTGATGAAAGTGGGTGCTCGAGGCAACTCAGCTATTGCTCCAGATCTTAGTTCAGTGCCC